TGTCTTCCTTGACAGCTTTGTTGACAACTTAGTTTGATTGACAGTTTCTTGTAACTTAGTTTGCCATTGTTTACACACTTGACTTGGTTGTTTGGTTTGAAGGCAGTTTTGCTCTTGTGCAGCTTTGTTTGGCATTTCAGTTTGCACTTTGCAATTTGTTTGGCATATTCAGTTTGTCCATGTGCAGTTTGTTTGAATTTTTTATGCAGCCTTGTATTTAATTAATTCCATGCTTGCAAACATTTAATTTTACTTTTCTCTTTGTGAACCAAGAAGAGACATCTTCTTGCGATTTGCAGAGAGGACGGACAAACTGATTCCGGCCAACACCTTTAATGATGAATTTTTTATTAACTGTCTGAAAAATACTTTTCCAAATTCATCTGTGTTTGACTTCTCTTTTTCTGGCTTTGCAGGTGAATATTAATTGGGGCAAGGGAAGCAGCAGTAGAAGATGAAGACTTCAAGCAACTTAGGATATATATTTAATTTATTTTTAATCATTGTAATAAACGTCATTGTAACACTGTAAATAAATTTACTGTATCAAATAAACATTTGTAACAACAATTGAAAATGAATAAAAATCTTTTTTTGTCAGTTAATTCTTTAATTCTTCTGCACTTGTTTATTTAATTACTTAAATTTCTTGAATTATAATAATTGGAAATTATCCCAATAATTTTAACTTAGAAATTATAAATAATCAACAAACGTCCGGCGTTCCAAATAACCAAAAGCATTGCACAGTTAAACAAACAAACGTCCATACGCCTTTTACCTTACTGATTAAACCAACACTTCAATCTTTCAATCAGAAGCCTCAGCTTCTATCCCAGATGTTTAGACTTTGAGAAACAAACAGGAATCTTGAACAAACGTCAAAAACCATGTGACAGTCAAATGAAATGTTATGGATTCAATTCCTTCTGAGAATGCGTGCGCAAACCCTAATGTTGGATTTACTGTCAAAGAAACGTTCGCCTGATCAAACCCTGAGCCAAACTCAACCAAATCACTAAAAACCCTAATAATCTGCTTGGACTGATTCAAAAGTTAATGGAAACCCTAATTTTGTTTGACTAATAAGAAAAGTCTGTTTGACCAATTCTTGAGCCAATCTGAAAAATCAGGAAAAGCCCGAAGCTGTGATTTCTTGTGAAAAAGAGGAGGGCAAATTTTGGGGTACAACAATGTCTAATATATACATTTTTAAGTTTTTCAAAAAGAATATGCAATGATTACATGTTTCTGTCATGTTTTGTTTAAGTTTTGTTATGCCAGGGAAGGCTTTGGAAATATATTTTCGACGTAAATAGTGGTTCCGAAGTTATATTTTTGGAACGTACCCTGGTACAAGATAGGGTTTGTGAAGTCCATATATGTCTCCCACAACTATAAATATAGATAATTTGTCATATTGTTTCATACAAAACACAAAAAAACATAATGGACATCATTTGGCATGTTGGAAATGTTCACTTTACCGGTGTTACACCATCAAGAGAATTTAAGATCATTGAATACACACCTATAGAAGATATGCAATACACATTGCATGAGCTTCTAACATATAGTGATAATCGCAAAATTGTGAAGATCGAGTACCGTTCGCCATCTGCTGACAAAGAAGGAAAGCTTAAGTTCAACAACTATCAACTGAAGACGACTGCTGATTTAAGGGCAGTGTTGAGAACCTTTTTCCGTTTGGAATCAAAAGTTTTGATCTAGTTAGATGCGACTGTTTCGATATTAGTCGATGATATTATCAATATGTTACAATGTCCATCTGGATCTTAAAGTGTGATGTTTGATCTATGTTAAAATCTCTTACGTATTATTGATTTTATGATATCAATGGTATTTTCATTTTGTCAAGTTGTTGTTTTTCCATTATATTTTTCTACTTCTGCTTCGCAAGATTCCAAAAATATACCTCAAAATCCTTTACGTATATACATCTTTAGAATAATTGATGTTTCAGTGAATGTTGGGTGCGTTAGGAGATACATCTCCAGAACCTGGGGGCATTATAGTATTTTCACGCGGTGTGCTAAAAGATTATGGGGTGTATTAAGAAATTTCCATTCTTTTTGAACTTGTCAATCTCTTGTAGATGGAGAATTTAAACTTCCACTCCCCAACACTCACACTTTGTTTGATAATTCTAAAATTTCTCCTGTTCAAAATTGAATTCAAATGTGCGTGTGAAATTCCAGGTAGGTAATTCAAAATTTCCAAAACAAACAATATTTCTGGTAGAGTATTCGTAATTTCTAGTATGAATTAATACCAGGATTTTCAAATATTTCTGGTATGTTTGAAATATTATCGGTAGTGTCTAGGTTTTCATGTTTTGTTATTGTTAATTTATGTTATAATGTCTTAAGTTATGTTCATTTTGAAACATGTAATCAATAAAATATTATATAATAAAAGTACGGTGCTAAGTAGTATGAGTCATAAAATATACAAATATTACAACTATAAAATCAAATAACTAAATAGGTCTCTCACGGGCTATATGTGATGCCCGCGATAATTCGGTAAAAATATTACCATATGGATTTATCAAATCTATGAGGTTATTCGTAATAACAACAATCATCAGCAGGTGCACCTGATCATCAGCATCAGGTGGAGGTGGTGGTGGTGGCACGTCATCGGCATGTACCCCAACATTAGAAGGCACAAAATCATTTGTATTCTCAACAAGTGGGATGATGCGAGGGTGTGATACAATGAAGTACTACTCCAGGTAACCATATTCACAATATGAGTCATGATGAACCCTTAATGTGCTATCTATAATTGCACAGGGAGAGTTGATGATGTTACTCTGAAACCATTTGTCAATGCCTGAAGCTAGAACATCTGGTCGTGAGATGCCCTGGACATAACCATACTATCGCAAACACCTCTCAGGAAAGTATCTAGCGACTAAGATCTCCCACCACATATAACCAGAAAATAAAGAAGACTCATCAAACTTATAAGGGTATGTTGCACCCTTCTATCACAGATGGTGGAGAAATGCTCGTATATCCAACATTGATAAAAGAACACAAACACAACAAATAATAATTAATAAATGTTATCCTTAAAAATTAAATAAGAACTAAACTCTAAATAATAACTTCTAGTATGCCATGAATAAACTCAAATAACCAATAAGCTATCTCGTCTCAAAGGCACTCGCAACTTCAAGCTCAGTTGGTATTGTCAAGGTTTTTGAACAACCACATGTACCGAGCATCAATATAAACATGAGACTTATCCGCAAAGAGAGTACATGCTACTAGATATAGCATGTACACCCTATCAGCAACCTCATACATATGTGCTTCCACAAACTCATGGTGACCATCCCAAAGCCAATACATCGGAAGGTGGGCTCCCCTATTATAAACAAATTTAAGTATCACGACCTCTTCAGTGACTCCCAAATCTCGTATAACCACGATACATCAAGCTTCTGGCTAATAATATGAACAATGAAGAATATAATGTTAGAACAAGATTAGTTCTGATCTATCTCAGAGTTTTGATGATAACAATAAATTATATTTTAGATAATTTATACTCTGATGAACGTATTTGAATGTTTCAGATAATGTTCTGACATAAGCATTTTGATGTGTTGAGCTAAAAATTATATGAAGAAGTTCTTTAATGAAAGAACCTTTTTGTTTTAAGCGCAACTGCTGACTCTGGTAAGAAAATTTATTTAAATGTATCTTCTAACATTTAGCAGGATTCCTTGCTCAGAAGATTACTTGAAAGCAAGCGCTGATCAAGTTCTTAGCAAGCAAAGCTCTTATTAGAAGATGAGTAAAGCATGTTCTGAATACAAGACGTTGTAGCAAGTTCTGAAAGAATGCAAAAGCCAACTTGTCTTGTCAAGCTTCAGGAAACATATTCTTACAAGTTGTCGTTTGCTCATTTAATGCAAAGACGGCTGCTAGCACTCAAGTGTCTAAGCTAGTTTCTTGGAAAATGGAATAGTGCAAAGAAACACGCAAGCATTTAATGCTCTCCACTTTTTGAAGGAAGCAACGGTCATTTTGTTCTTACTATATATAGAAGGACATTTACTGCAAGCCTACTAACCAATCAATTTCAAAAAGAAGCACGAAACTACGTGAAATATTCTGGGCTCACAAACTCTTTGTTCATACACTTTGTGCAATTTATTCTAAGTGAAAAATCACAGTTGTGATATAGCTTGATTAGAAGCAAATTTTATTTCACTATCTGTAAGATTAAATTCTTGTAATTGTTCCTTGAGAGACCAAGTTTAGTCAGATTTCTCAAGCAGACTAGGACTAGTTTTAAGTCTTAGTGGTGTTAGTCACTTGTAAGATTACTTGTGCATTGTTAGTCACAACAGTTGTTGTGTGTTTGTAATCAGTTGATTATAGTGAATTAAGTCCTTGTTAAGAAAGGCGAAATCACCTTGACGGGTGGACTGGAGTAGTTTGAGTTCAAACGAACCAGGATAAAAATAACCTTGTCCTTCCATTATTGTTGAGCTTTGTTTTGAAAAGAAAAAGAGTAACTTATTCACCCCCCCCCCCCCTTCTAAGTGTTTTCTTACCCCTTCATATACCAGTGACAGGGAGATGGAATAAGGAGGAGACATCATCCAAAGTGATAGTCATCTCCCCAAATGGAAGATGAAAGAAGGATGTCTCCTTGTGCCATCACTCAACAAAATTAGTTAGAAGTGAAGCGTCAAGCATGGTGATTGAGCAGTCGGAAAATGATAGGAGACCAAAATCAGCAGCAATTCGCCTGACCTGCTCAAGCATCAGACTCATAGGGAAGTTCTTCATCTTTGACTCGTGGGATATCACATTCAGCGTGGGACAGTCCTGTAACAAACAAAGTTAAAAAAATTATCAGTTAGATTTCAACACACCATGGAACAATAGTAAATAAATTAAAGTTAACTGGTATACTCGGTATGCCACATGGTCAGTATACTTGGTAAGCACTAATCAATCACTAGGTCTTCCCGAGAACTCTCCATCACTGTGTAAATATGGATCCGTCGAAGCAGGATTTGTAACCTCTATATCACCCGTAGAAGTAGCCTTATCAGCAATAGGAATCAGTTTTTGTGGCAACCACCTATCAGCAATAGCGGTGTTTGTCTCAGCCACCTTAGTAGAGATAGGGGTCGCATCTGTCTCGGTTAGCTCACCAGTAACATTTGTCGTATCTATCTCTAACACCTTAGTTAGGACAATAACATCCTGGCCCTGGATCTCCTGATCATGAACAACCTCAACAAAATCTTTGGGTTGCTCGCATAATCTCATCGCTCTGCATCAGGTGCTACAGGGTACACAAAATTAAACCTGCTCAGCCAACCATTTCTGACGAGAACCGGTTGGAACTACTCATCTAGCCCGTAGCTAGGAAGACTCTGCCTCAACATCCTAGCCCGGACTACCACTCTATTTGTGGTCATGCTTGCAATGATGTCGTTCTTTCCCTTGGTCTTCACTAGAAAATTAAAAAATGCAAAAAAAATCAGTGAACTACCACCAATTTTGAAATTTCCTATATATCACCAGAAATTATGAAATTTCTGATATGATTTTCAAAATTTAACTACCAGAAAGTTCTAAAATTTTTGATAAAAATCCAACTTTTTGAATTACCGTAAATTCTGAAATTCCCGGTACCATGCATGAATAAATATCGGGAATTTTGAAACCATCGGTAAAAATGCATGCAAAACTACTCGTATTTCTTAAATTCCCAATAAAAATCTAAAGGATTGTACCTATTTTTTTGAAATTCTAGGTAAAAACCTTACTTTTCAAAAGATTTCTAGTAAAAGTGTGAAATTTTCAATATCGCTCTGGAGGTTTTGTAATTTGCACAAATTCTGAGTGAATTTTTGAAAATGGTTGAAAATTTTGCAAGGTCCATATAGTCAATTCATTGAGTTTGTGAGGGTGTCAGGTTTAAATGGGGGGTGGCAGGCTAAATTCTCTTGTATATGACAATGAGTAGAATTTGGGCAGCCATACCCGAGTTTTAAAAAAATCCTCGTATTCGAACATGTACCCGTATGAACGCCAATGTTTATACCCTTACTCGTATCATGTAAGTACCTAAGTACTCATACTATACATGTTACCCGCATTTCTAGTAAAATTAAATTGGTCATTTATGAAAAATAAAATATTTTTAAGTTTTTAACAACATTTAAATAAACTCAAAGATTTTATTATTAAATTATAAAAAAAACAAACATTTATATTAAAATGCATAGTAGTTTAATAGTGGTATATTTTTCTAAAATTCATATACATGCATTTTTATATAATAATATAAATGATAATGTATAAATTATATTGTGTGAGTATCATTTGGGTGGATCTTAAGGTACCCATACCCGCACTCATACATGCTTATTTTAGTGGGTAATTATCTGTGCTCATGCCCATACTCATTTTGCAGGTTTTTACCCTACCCGTTGTGGACAATTTTTGTGGGTACCTAGTGGATTTGAGCTAAATTATCATCCCTAATCTCCTTACCAAAACAATTGGACTTCACACCCCTTCAAGAATATTTTTTACATCCCCCAAATTTTTTCTGCCCATTTTTTCTCCTTTTCAATAATATGTGCATCGTGATCCTTCGCAGTGGGAATGTGTTGAGGGTTCGTAGCAAAGTCATACTATAAAGAGATCATGTACAAAACTAATTGAAATTCAAATGTTTAACCAATCTTCAAAACTTTTTTACTTGTCTCAGTTTCCGGTTTTCTTACATTAATATTTTAATCACATTGTTGATGTGGGTTAAGATGGAAATTGTGGTTTTCGTGCTACTGCAGATTTTCTTGGACGCGGTTAGATGTTGAAAGTTTATCAGTGCCATCAAATGTATTACAATGTGTTATATGGCACAAACTCTAAAGTTAGGAGTCCGTTTCAAGTAGCTAGCTTGGGTGTGCAATTTCGTGACAAATGGATGACGATTCCTGATATAGGTTACCTTAATGCTTCTAGATACAATGTCATATAAGTATCATTGTCCATGAACCTTAAATTCACTTTCTTCCTATTAGTGGTATCTCCATCCATAGTTGCAAGCAGATATAAACTTATTGTAGTTGGTTTTGTTAACAATAATCATTGGGTTCAGGTGAAGTTGAAACCTGATTCTCCATTGCCTCTCGTCCCTGAACGATGGAGACAGAACTATAGTGAAGGTGCAAGAGCATAGGAAACAATAACAGTATATGTGGGACATATAAGGAACTAGGAAGAAGAAGTTAGTAAGTCAACATATTTTATTTTGTATTGATATTGTATCACATTTTGCATTATATGTATATATTTTATTGGGTTAGTTGTCTAATTGTTTTATTATAAATGTCAAAAACTAAAGGATTTTTCAAAACTCACCACTGCTACCATATTTTTCAAAATATCCAATACACATTATAGGTTACTGGAATTTTTTTAAAATCCGGTATACATGCATCGATTATTTGAAAAAAAATGGAATTTCTTCATACAATTACCAGAAAACAATGTTTTTTACCGGAAATGTTGGAAGTTTTCAGTATTTTTTCAAATAATCTTAAAAAATATGGTATTTTTTTGCAACGTCTGGTATTTCTTCATATAAACACAAAAAACGGTACTATGTCTAAAATTCGGTAATTGATGGTACTCTTTAAATAACTAGAATTATTACGTGAGGGTCTAACAGTAAAAGCATTGCTCATATGGGATTTGCCAGGTTAAACTTGGAGGTGGCAGGAAAAATTCTCTACCCCCTAAACTGTATAGGCCTTTTGAGAATTTCAAGGAAACACTCATTTATATAAAATAATCTATACTACTACTTTGGAGAATGTCTAACATGCCTAGAAGAGGTTGAATAGATCTTTATTTAATAAAAAATATTTTGAAAATCAAAGTTAAAAAGGGTTAGAGTGGAAGTTAAAATTACCAAATTGATATACAGATGAATTAAAAAATAACAAGATGATGATAAATCAACTAATCAATAATATAATAATTAATCTAATTTAACTCAAACAAAGACATTTGAATAGAATCAGATTAACTGATACAACAATCAAGAATTACAATTTTTCAAAATAATCACCAAAAATAAATATTTAGCTTACCAGATCTAAGAAAAATCAAGCCAAATCATATGTGAACTAGAAAGAAATTAAAACATAAGAACATGTCAATTCAATGGAGAAATTAAAAGAGACATATAGATTAATATACATCGAGATTTATGGTTTGATGTGTTGTCATCGCTTGCACTTAGTTTAGTCTCCAATGACAAACCATAAGAAACTGTTGAGTCTTCCACTAATAGAACATTTATAAGTGTTTTTTAATACAAATGAAAATCACACATAATGGAAAATTAGATCTAACAACTAAAATACACAAATGTTATTCTTGATTTTCATTCATCTGCACACAGTTTGATAGGCTACAAAACCTCCAAGATCTAAAATCTTGAATCGATCCAACTTTAAGAACCAAATCACTTGAAGATTCCTTCTGCAATGATCTTCACTCGATCATTGAAGTAGTTAGAAACTCCATGACCTCTTGGAGGATAATTTCTTCTTTTTATTTACTGGATGTCAATTTCTGAAAAAAATGATCTTCCCTCGATCATTGAAGTAGCTAGAAACTCCATGACCTCTTGGAGGATAACTTCTTCTTTTTCTTTACTGGATGTCAATCTTCGAAAACCCACAACTAGATATAAAATTCTCTCATGTAGTTTAGAAACACTCATCAATGGTGTTTTGGTTTGAGAAAGAAGATGAAATTTTTTAGATAAATCTCACAACAATTTACATGCTCAAGAAATCAACACTAAAAAGGTTTTTCTTCAAGATTAATATGATAAATAAGATTCGTGTGATTGGTGAACTCTCAAGGTTTTCTCAAATGTTAATATGTGAATTATGCAAGTTATGCAAGACTATTAACTAGAGAGAGAAAGTTTTAGCTTTTATATGTGCTAGAAATAAGGATCAAAGTAGGTGTAAAAAACATTTTCAAAGAGAGAACCTTTAGAGTTAAATGAAATTTTTATGTTGTGAATGTAATGAGAGAATGATTTGAGTTTAGAGAATAAAAATTAGATTTTAGCATGTTTCATTTGAGTCATGATTCTTCTTAACTCGAGTCAAGTGATTCAAGTCAAACAAAGGCTTGACTTTAGACACACTTTTCAAAGAGAAACTTAAAGATGAAAGCCCATAATTTGAGTCAAAGAAAGGTGTGACACAAGTCAAAGGATGACGTGACTTGAATCATGCATCCAGAGCCAAAATCCAATTTTTAAAACTTTCTCTTGATTTGAGCAATGTTTTATCTTGAGTCGAGTCACGACTCCATAATAAAATTTATGGGAAATAAAAACTTAATGATTCTAGTCAAAGATTTACATGATTCAAATCATGTCTGCATTAGTTTCTTGATTCAAATAATGTCTGCATGAGTTTCTTGAATCAAATCATCTTGTGTTGACTTTGATTAAATGTTCAATTTAAAGCATGATAAGCGATTTCATCTTGTAATGGACTAAAAATATGATAAATAAAATGAGACAAAACGTCAAAACAAATTAAATTGATAAAAATACTAACAGAGCAATTTAATTCTCCCGCTTTTTTATGTTTGAAAATTTTTGAGATATTTTAGTTCCTGACATAGCGACTTAGGACCCCTGCATTCAACACATATCACTATGCCAAACAAGGGATTAGACAACGCTTTTTTAGGCCTTTAACAGCGCTGCTAAAACCTCCACTGCTAAAGGTATAGACAGCGCTTATGTAATTTCAAAAGCGTTGCTATAGGTACCTCCTTTAGCAGCCCCTTTAGCAGCGCTTAAACTTTAGACAGCGCTTTTAATGTGGAACTTTAGACAACGCTTGGTAAAAGCGCTGTCTATTCCCCCCCTTTAGCAACGCTTTTCCTTATTATTTTTTAATATTTTTTTCAATCACTTTAGGCAGCGCTTTCATTAAAAGCGCTGTCTATTCCCCCACCCCCTTTAGCAGCGCATTTTCTTATTATTTTTTTAATATAATTTTTTTTCTAACACTTTAGACATCACTTCTCATTAAAAGCGCTGTCTATTCCCCTCCTTTAGCAGCGCTTTTCCTTATTATTTTTTTTAAATATATATATTTTTTCATTTAAAATAAAACGCTGCCTATCAAATTTAATCTCACCATTTTTGCACCAGAATTTATAGCTTCATTATAACATTTTAAACAACAACAACATCAATATACCACAAT